GATGCAAGAAAAAAAACACTTGCAAAACCAAACCAAACCAAAGGCTCCCTGACTTCTGCAGATCTGACTGAACAAGCAGAAATCAGGGAGGATTAAGGTGAAAGACTGAACAACATGACATGGCCAAAGGACGGGAACTTTGAAATCAAACTTTGCACTCGTCAAGTGGCGCTTGGACCCTTTTTCTTTTTCTCTCTTTTAATGAATCAGTGGTCCTAAGGCCCGTCCCTGTGGCTCTGCCGCTGCATCCCTCCTAGGGTACAGAGAGCTGGTTCGGTCCTAGCCCTGCTCCTGGTGCCTTCCACTTGAATCAGTTACTCTCCACTCTCTGCTGCGCAGAGCAATCTCTCAGCCCCATCTCCCGCAGTGAAATGGCCCAGGAGTCATCTCTAGCTGTGGGCAGAGCATGAGAGCTGACAGGATTTTTTTTTTTTTTTTTTTTTTGCTCACCCAGAGGACTGTAGGATCTTACATGTACTGGGATGTGGCTGGAACAAAGAAAGAAGCAGCCCCACTACTCCCAGCTCACACGCTCTTATTTTACAGTGCCTGATTTTTGTGCATGAAGGAGCAGAAAGAGGTTACATCGGCCGGGGCTGCTTCATTGTAGGTGATGCTGCAGGACAAACTCAGTTTATGCATGGCCCAGAGCAAACACTTAACAAAATTACGCTGGTCTCATGCATATTTTTTTAAAAAATATCCCAAGACGATAAAGAGCAAGGCGTGGGGGATTTGGTTCTGATGCTGGGAATGACTAGTTTGTGAAACTCCCCAGCAAGTGCCTTCTGATGTATGTTGTTTATGTAGGTGATGCTGCAGGACAAACTCAGTTTATGCATGGCCCAGAGCAAACACTTAACAAAATTACGCTGGTCTCATGCATATTTTTTTAAAAAATATCCCAAGACGATAAAGAGCAAGGCGTGGGGGATTTGGTTCTGATGCTGGGAATGACTAGTTTGTGAAACTCCCCAGCAAGTGCCTTCTGATGTATGTTGTTTAAGCCTTTTCACCCTCCATCTGTATTTCCTGTGAGGGTCTGAAGATTCTTCAAAGAGAAGGGGGAGAAATAACCCTAGGCAGATCAAAGCTTTGTTCATCCCTGTAGCGTAAACCTTTGGCTTTGTTTTGTGTGTCAGTTCCTCCTATGCATTCTCCCACTTGGCTACTGGCCTTATTAATTCATCATTCAATTTACTAATGTGGATGGCTACAGCATCTGAACTCTCAGCTGTCTTGAATTATTTAACTCTGTAAACCAGTTATAAGCACAGTTGGCATGGAAATTACTAGGGGAAATACAGTTAGTTGGGTTGGATGCACTGTGTGGCAGCCGAATAAGGTGCCTACTTTAATTTTGAGACGTCACAATACCAGGCAATTTGCGCTGTCTACAAACGTGACTGTGTAAGGTCTGGGGTTTCTTGCTTGGGTTTGTCCTCCAGATAGAAATAAGATGAAACTAACAGGCCTAGATCAACTGATCAAACTATTTTAACTGATTTAATTTCACTGTTATCAGCACAGCAATACTGATTTATACCAGGTGAGGGCTAGCCCACAATATTTAAATATAAATGACCCTAAAAACATGTAGGGCCTGATTATGTTTCACCCTACAACCATAACCTAATATAGCCCTCTCTCGGTCATACCTGCAGATATAGAAGAGTTCCCTACTCAATGAGTCTTAGAGAGGTTGCCGTGTTAGTCTGTTTCAGCAAAATCAATGAGGAGTCCTGTGGCACCTTAAAGTATAACACATTTATTTGGGCATAAGCTTTTATGGGTTGGAACCCACTCCATCAGATGCATTTCATGAAGTGGGTTCCAGCCCTTGAAACCTTCTGCCCAAATAAATTTTTTAGGTCTGATCTACATGACCTAGGAAGGTCAAAGTAAGATAGGCAACTCCAGTTACGTAAATTACGTAGCTGGTGTCGACATACCTTACAACACATTTCTGTGCTGTCCACACAGTGGGAGGCCGATGGGAGTAAACTTTCCTCTTAACTTCCCTTACTCTTCATGAGGAGCAGAAATATGGCACTGATGGGGGCACCCGCTGAGTTTGATCTAGCAGTGTCAACCTTCCATGTAGTGTAGACGTGCCCTTCATGTTTAAGATGCCTCAGGATCACTAGTTGTTTTTACTCAACCAGAAGTCTCACCAGAAGTAGAAACTCCTCAAGGAATAAGGTGCCGCTCCTAGTGAACAATGGCAGCAGGATGGGCCCTTTCTTACTGAGAAGCGTAGCAGTCCTAGTAGCTAATGGAATCAAGGGGCTACCTTCAAAGCGTCTCTTATCTCGCCTCACCCGCCCCACCACCTCACCTTCAGGGCGCCCTTTATCCCACCTCTCCCGGGGAGGTGGAGGACTTGAACCCGCCACCCTCCGGCCATTAGCTTTCCAATGCAATTGAAAGAAAACAACAGAGAAGGATAAAAGCAGGGCTTTGAGTGCTCCGACACTGCTCGGATCCTTTCAGTGGCAAGCAAGGCTGCAATGAAAATTCATTAAAGCAGTGGGGGAAATGTGACACAGGTGTGTTAACGTCTACGTCTCCTTTCTTCTTGGATTGCTGTAAACTGCAGGAAAACAAAATAAACCATTAAGACAGACACACATGGAAATCGTGCAATTTAAAGCAATGAATGAGGTTATACATTCCCCGCTGGAGAATAAGTGTATTGAATGGGTTGCCTTACGGGATAAACCAGCACACAGCAGAGAAGATGGAGAGAAACAAGGGGATAAGGCAAATGCAGGGCTATCCCTCAGTTTCGGTTTCACACTTGAGAGAGAAACCAGGTGTTTGCACCAGCTGCTCCCCGGCAGTGTCTTGGAAAGCAGGTGCCATTTTGCTTCGACTGATCCTCTCACCCACTCTTTACAAAAGAGAACCTGATGTCAGAGGCTGCTACTTACCAGTAGAGTCCTTCAGCATCGTAGGTTTGCTCTTATGCCTGCCTTTCTCCACCAGCAGGGTGATGGTATATTCTGCATCAGCCTCCAGACCTTGCAGGATGTAAGAGGTGCTGTCTGCTGGTATGTCAATTTCATTCTTCCTCCCAGAGGGGCTGACGTAAGTGAGGCGGTAGCGGTCAAACTTGGCCAGTGGTCTTTTCCAGCGGAGGGAGAGGGTCGTTTCTGTGCGATCGTTGACTTCCACATCCTTGGGATTATCCAGATCTGCACATTAAAACATAGAAGTTTTTTATACATCCACATTTTTGTTATGTTCCTCAGTGCAAGAGCTGTGTATTGCCATTGGGGTTTGCTAACTGCAGAAAGAGCAACCATTATACCCACCGAAATAACCGATTCAATGTGGAATGAGGGTGTGATTTCCTTTTCTATGTCTTTGCAGATCCTATCCTCTCATCTAAGTATTGGCAGGTGAGATTCCGTTTATGTGCAAACCAAATGGACTCCAGAGCTCCCTCACTAACGTTCATTTCAACCCACTGCATGGTGAAAAGGCAGAATCTGACCCCCTGGTTTATTCCTTTTTTTTTAACCAACATTCAGTTTCAGCCAGTAACTCCTGCTCTGAGCTCTTGAGATGAAACCAGAGCAGAGTTTCTCAGCATGGCCCCCGAGGAGAGAGGGGATGCCACAGACAGATGTTAGGGGGTTGCAGTTATACTTTCCTTCGCACAGAGGTAATATGTTTAAAGGAAGACATCCAATCCTGGTTAAAAGACTCCAAGGGATGGAGAATTTGCTCCCTCCCTCACTAAGCTGTGTACTCAATGATCACATTTGATGGGTTTGGAATTGGATCATGCCATATTTTGTGGGCTTTGCTCTTGTCCTCAGCAGCCACATTGACCTTCAAAAGACCAAGAGGGCTGCACAATTTATGAGACAGCTACACTTTCCCCTACTTGGGGCTCCTGAATGGCTCCAGCTTTCTTTGTCATTTCACCCCAGGTGGCAAAGAGAAAGGAACATCTCACCGGTGGTGGAAGGAATGCTTTCTCTGTCCTGCTTCACTGCTGTCACTCCAATGCCATATTCAGTTCCAGGCCTCAGACCTATGGAGAAGCGGGAGAGATCGGTCACTGTTTAGGGTTGGTGCTAGCCAAAAAGTGTGTTGGTTTTGTTTTTAATAAGAAAGCTGTAGTATGAAGCAGCATAGGATATTTCTTTTGCTATGAACATTAAGAGCCAAATTTTCAGTCAGTCTCTAGGGGAGCATCTACACTGAGCCCTTACCCCAAAATAAGCTGCACAAGTTGCACGACACAAGTTGCGTAGTTTATTTCAAGGTAATTTTGAAATAGCTTATTTCAAAATTTGGCGCAGTCTGCACTGCACCAAATTTGAAAATAAAGTGCTATTCTGAAATGTCTCTTAACCCTCTTGGAACGAGGTTTACAGGGATGTCGGAATAGCGAGCCTATTATATTTCGAAATAATGGGCTCACTCAAAAGATGTGGAATAGCTATTTCAGGAAATTTCCAGTGTTCCAAAATAGTGCCATAGTGTAGACGTAGCTTAGCTGGCTTCCAGTGTTGGGAAAAATCTTTTGCATGTCCATTCAACTTGATTATTTATTATTCAATGTTATAATTATTATTTATTCTAGTACTTGGAGATGCCACCAAGACCGGGATCCCAGTGTGCTAGGCACTGTCCAAAAATGGAGTGGTCCTGTAGCACCTTCGAGCAGGGGTAGGGAACCTTTTTTGGGTCAAGGGCCGCTGACCCACAGAAAAAAATCAGTCTGGGGCGGGGGGCTGCGGGGAGGTGGTGGTGGGAGAAAGGTGGCTCAGTCCTCAATGCTGGAAGAGGTCCTAAGCCTTGAGGGCCAGATCCAGGGAACCCAGGGGCTGCATCTGGCCCCTGGGCCTTAGGTCCCCTCCCCTGCCATAGAGACTAACAAGCATATGAATATAGAGTATCCTGAGCTTTCATGGGAACAGCCCACTTCTTCAGATGAGTCAAGTGACAGTTCCTGCCAGGAATTTAAATGTAACCTGCATGAGTGTGTAGAAATACATGTTGAATGTGAAAATCCAAACTGCCTAGAAAAGGTGCATGGTCCTTTCTGCAAGCCCATGAGAAAGCGACATGGTGAGTCCGAGACTCAGTGTCAGCGAATTAAAGAGATTTCGGTACCTGGAGTTTAAGATGGGCACCCCAAGAGATTGAAAAGTGACTAAAAATCAACTGGCGTTGGTTTCAAAATGTATTTGAAAATTCCGTGAGGTGCAGGTTGCATCTTTAAATACCTTTAAAAATCTCACTGAAAATGCAGCTTTTGAAAGGAACAAAGACACTATGTGCCCTGGTTAGTAAAAAATGAGTCACCTGATATCTAAATCATCTTCAACGTCTTTCACATCCTGAATTACTTCAATACCATAAAAGATTCAAATATGCTTATTATCCCAGTTCCCATGGGTTTCAGTGTGTTTTTAAAGTCTCTTTCATAAGTAATCATATTTCTCTTTGCAGCTCTCCAGTGTGTTGCTTTATAGCTTTACATTTTTGTAAATTCTTTGTAATCCATTCAGACGTTACAGTACTTTACACTAAGAGGGCCTCCTGTTCCCCTGTTGTGCATGAATAATTCTTAGTGTCAGGGAAAGTTCTGTTCCTAGCAAAGGAAGACCAGATGTTCCTAGATAGCTAATGAGACCCTAATGAAAACAGTACTGTTATAAAGTATGGATGCAATCATATTGTGATTATATAAATACTAGAAGATTTACGCAGCATTGCATGAACATAAGAACAGTCATACTGGGTCAAACCAAAGGTCCATCTAGCTCAGAATCCTGTTTGCCAACAGTGGCCGATGCCAGATGCCCCAAAGGGAGTGAACAGAACAGGTAAACATTACATGATCTCTCTCTTGTCATACATTTCCAGCCTCTGACAAATAGAGGGAAGGGACACCATTCTTACCCATCTTGGCAAATAGCCATTGATGGACCTAATCTCAATTACTGTATCTAGTTCTTTTTTGAATCCTGTTACAGTCCTGGCCTTCACAACATCCTGTGTCAAGGAGTTCCATAGGTTGACTACGTGCTGCATGAAGAAAAACTTCCTTTTGTTTCTTTTAAACCTGCTACCTATTAATTTCATCTGGTGACCTCTAGTTCTTATGTTATGTTATGCTTGGGTCTTCATCTAATACATTTTCTTTTTCTTCATTTAAATCATTGTTCTGGGCTGGAGCCGGGGATAAGGGATTCAGTATGCAGGATGCTCCAGGAATAAAGGACAACCCTAGCTCTCTCTCACTGCACAGCTTCAGGCCAGGTGAGATGTGCCTGTCCAGGGTTGCTGCATCAATTAGAGCCGGGGGAGGAGTACATGCAAAGAGACAAACTCTCTGAAATATATAGTAGATAGCTGTCTCTTTCTCCATCCTTGTCAGCCCAATATGGTTATATTTGTCCTGCTCCCCATGTGTGGCTCCTTGCTGCCCCTTGTGGTCATTCTGCAGTATAACTGTCCCTCCTGCTAGACCCCTCCCTTTCCATTTTATGAGTAACAGGGTGGTCCGAGGCTGGGGACTTACAATAAAGCCCAAACTCTGGTTCAATTGAAGATCCCTTTCTTCTTTCTTTCAGCCTAATTTTATTAACTTAACATCCCACAGCTGGGAGGGGAGAGGAGAAGGTCTTCTCCAGACAGCAGCTTCCTCTTTATTTTTATAGCCCTGCCCCAGACCAACCATACGACGGCAGGGTACATGGGTTCTATTTGTAACCCCTTAGATGCTTCTGTATCCACAGTGCATCAGGGTGCTAGAGGTCAGGTCGTTAGCTGGTTACTGGTGTCAGTTGCATTAAAAATCATCTTAGTTTCAGCCTACCTGTGAGTGTAGCCTTGGTTGTAGCCTCATTACTCTTTGGCACAGTGATCTCAGCATGGTCTCCCCCTGAGATGGGAGCGAACTTGATTCTGTAGTTATCAATGCTAGCATGGCTGTTCTTCCACTCTAAGGTGATACTGTTGTCTGTCTGAGACAGGTGTTTCAGGTTCTTCGGTGCATCCAACTCTGAGGAGGGAAAATGGTTCTCTCTCAGGACAGAAGGGGAGAATGATTTGCATACCTGGCATAGGGTACCATCTACAAAATGAATTCAATTTTCCCACAGAATTTACCACTCATAGTCCCTGCCCTAATTAGACCAATTTCTTTTAGGAAGGAGAGCAATTCACTAAAGCTGGTAAAAAATGCCATGTCATATCTCGGTGGAAAATTCTGACTTTTCCCCAAAAATCCATTTTTATGCTAAAAAAAATTCAGAAAAATTGAAAATTTCCAAGGAAAGCAGATACCTCCTGGGATTTTTTTTTTTTTTAATTTTTGTTTTACTGAGAACCAATGATGTGACAGAAAATTGTTGCCCAGCCCTGGAATGCAGTATTCAAAGATACCCCTCAATCACAGAATGGTAGAATCCCAGGGCTGTTTGAGACCTAAGGAGGTCATTGGGTCCAGCTCCCTGCCCAAAGCAGCACCAACCCCAACTAAATCATTGAACTCTCCAACCCCGGCCTACAGGATTTCATCTCTTGGAATGAAATAGGGATTTTATCTACAAATTCCATGAGCTATTATAATTCACACCCAAATAGGCTCAAATCCTGGATTGATGAAACAACTCCATCCTGGGGTGAAAAAGGATTTCATTTTCCTGCTCCTTTTATTCCCCAGCATTGTCATATGGCTCCACTAAGATCCAAACCATGGCTGCACAGTAAAATGCCTACTTTTTAAAACAGCATTCCCAGCATACTTGAAGGTGAAACTGAATTAAAAACAAAAGCAGACAGACATATCCAAAACTGAAGAAGGAAAAAAAGAAGAGAGTTCTCCTCTAATCCACAAGGGATGCAGGCATAATAATGTTTCTGTTCAGAACTAAACACTGTGGTAATGGAGTTATAGGGAAACTTTAGCTTAAGAAACAGACAGGCAGATAAGGTAGGAGGAACCCTGTGCATTGGTGGGGAAAAATAGGGGATTCAGGGTGAAAGTATCAAAAGGACTAAAGGTATGTCTACACTACCCTCCTAATTCGAACTAGGAGGGTAATGTAGGCATACCGCACTTGCAAATGAAGCCCGGGATTTGAATTTCCCGGGCTTCATTTGCATGGAGCCGGCCGGCACCATTTTTAAATGCCGGCAGTTCGAACCCCGAGGAGTTCATTCCACGAGGAGTACAGCTAGTTCGGATTAGGAAGCCTAATCCGAACTAGCTACTCCATGCCGCGTGTAGCCGCGTGGCACGGGGTTCGAACTGCCAGCATTTAAAAATGGCGCCGGCCGGCTTCATGCAAATGAAGCCCGGGAAATTCAAATCCCGGGCTTCATTTGCAAGTGCGGTATGCCTACATTACCCTCCTAGTTCGAATTAGGAGGGTAGTGTAGACATACCCTAAGTGATCTGGAACCTAATTTTAATTTTCAAATGAGATGCAGGCATGAGGAGCCCAAGTCTCTCCAGGAACCAATTGGATTAAAGTTCCTAAGTCACTTTTGAAAACTTTATTCAACTGCCATAAACTTCTTTGACTGGTATAGGGATGTGCCAGTACAATAACCGTACAATGAAGCAACAGGCTCCAACTAACTAGCATGGATGTGCAGGTGGTGGATAGAGCAGAGCAGAAGACAAGAAGCTATGGTCATAGCTGAACAAGCTCTGTACCTGTGACAAAGGTTTCCTTCACAGGGTCGCTGGTCATATCCCCGCGCCGAGAGATCAGCGTCACCTCATATTCTGTGTGTGGTTTCAGATTCCCAATGGAGTACTGGCTTTCATCTTCAGAGAGGTCAATGGTCGTCCTGTCCCCTGGGACATCCTTGGGGCCATAGCTGAGCTCCATGTCATCAATTTCAGCCAAAGGTTTGAACCATGTGATTAAAGCTGTGGTGTCTGTCACATCTCTCACCTCTATCTGGCTTGGGGCATCCAACTCTGGGATAGAAAGAGGAAAAAAATGAATTTTCTGATCCCACCACTGAGAGAGCAAACCTAGTTTGGACACTGTCCCTTCACGGTGGAATCAAAGCAAAATTCTAACGAGCAACTCTTATTAACAACTGTAACTCTTCATGCCAACTTGCTTAATACGCCACTAATGTAGATGGAAAGAGCTGCATAACGCAGGAAGGGAAGGGGATGTGTATTGAGCAGGTCCTGAACTAGCACAACAAGGATGAGCCAATGTCCAAGCCGGTTTTCTGGCTGCATGAGGAATCCTGCTGGGGCCAAGTAGTTTCATGTGGTAGATTAGTGATGTGGAGCCTGATTCACTTTGTTTCACTCATGGGCGGCCTGTGAAGGCCCAGCTGGGGAAGGCAAGCCCCAGCTCCGCCCCTTCTGCCCAAGGCCCGCCCTTGGAGCCAAGCCCCGCCTACCATCTGCCTGATCCTTCTTGGCCACCTGCAGGGCCAGAGATGCCATGTTATGGCCCCAGCCTTCCCGGGTAGCTAGGGCATGTAGGCAATTTTGGGAAGGTTGTGCCTTCCCTTGCCTTCATTACCGGCTGCTCATGGTTGCACTCTCTGAACAGGAACACAGTGCATGCTGGTCCACTGCCAACTAGAAGGAACATCTCCTTTCCTCCTCAGACAGGGAGCCCAGGAATTCCTTGTGTCAGCTACTGCAGCTCTTCCCTGCTTCGTGTTTTCAAAAGGGAGGCTGCTGTGTTGTGCGGCTTGGTTTTCCTTCCATTTAGCATCTCCCCAGAGAGCACCAAACAACAGAATAGAACTTACTTGTGGTAACGACTCTAAACAGCCCTGGTCCTCTGGTTTTGTTTTTCACAACATGCAGGGATACATTATACTGTTGTCCTGGTGCCAGACCTGGCTGCATATACGTCGTCTCTGGTCTCTTCAAGCTGTTGGTTATGTCCCCATTATCTTCCTTTTTCTGTAACACACACGGCAATTAGGAAAAATGACAAGGAGTCAGAACATTCTCAACTGTGCTTTTTTTCCCCCATCCAAACTGAAATGTCTCCTGCAGACAGATTGATTTTGACAAAGGTTTGGCTGGGATGGTTTTGGAGGTTCTTGGGGAGACATTCTGGTTATTTCCAGGGAGACAGTGCTGAATCAAAAAACAGACCTTTGGGAACCATTCCCATTTTGTGAAAACAGTGGAAAGGTTTGGTTTTCATTCCAGTGAGGAATGAAAACAAAATATGAAACTCTCAAAAGTTATTGTGAAATAAATTAGACATTCTCTGGCCAGCTCTAGTTAGAATGTAGCATAAAAAGAAACCAACACTCTACACTTGAACACAAAAGCTTGCTGGATAAGCTTTTTCCTTACCATATTCCGGAATATGAGCTCCCATCCATCAAATGAAATGTTTAGAGGATCCCATTCCACCTGTACAGATGTCTCCTTGATGGATTTGAATGTCAGGCCTTCAGGAGCAGGCAGATCTATGAGGAGGAACAGCAAGAGGGTAGCTGCATGGGTCATAGTGTCCTCTCAGCTCAGGGAACAAGATATTCACAAATGAGTACGATGGTGAAAATCACCAGGGACATTTTTTTTTAGATACTATAAAAATGCATACATACTACAGTGATGGGTGCTAGAGACAAAACTGGAGAAAGAAAGAAAGAAAGAAAGAAAGAAAGAAAGAAAGAAAGAAAGAAAGAAAGAAAGAAAGAAAGAAAGAAAAAAGGAATTAGTACAATGAACAAACACATGGGCTACATCTACACTGCAGGCTTCTTGCGCAAGAACAACCATTCTTGCGCAAAAATTTGCAAAGCATCTACCTTGCACAACTAAATTTGGGCTCTACAGAGCACTCTTGCACAAGTCAATTTACAGTCAAGCGTCGGAACAGAGGGCTTCTTGTGCTGGAGTTATTCTTCTCCCCACGAGGAATAAGTCCTCTTGCACAAGATCTCTTGCACAAGATCTCTTGTGCAAGAAGGCAGTATGGAGGGGCAACAGGGGTTTCTTGTGCAAGAAACCCCAATGGCTAAACTGGTCATCAGAGCTTTCTTGCAGAAGACAGTGTCCATGCTGCCATGGACGCTCTTGCACAAAAGCACATATCTTGTGCAAAAGCACATGGCAGTGTGGATGCGCTCTTGCGCAAGACCTTTTGCACAAGAGCTCTTGTGCAAAACAGTTCTTGTGCAAGAAGCGTGCAGTGTAGATGTGGCCATGGTGGGCACATGTCAAAAAATGCATTCTGTAGATGGATGAATGGCTTTTTTTTCTTTCCCCAAAGATACCAGAGTTAATTTGGGACATACCAAACTACAGAAACATCTATCCACCATCCTGGCTCCTCCATCCCACCTCTCTACCCATCATATGTGAAGTTTTAGCTAGACTAAAAATGCAGTATAGAATCTTTAGCTAGGGTTGGTCCTACTTTGGGCAGGGGGCTGGACTCAATGACCTCCTGAGGTCTCTTCCAGCCCAGGGAGTCTATGATTCTATGATTTCCTTTTGCAAACAAGGGGGGATTCATATTCCAACTGCCCTACATTTTTCTTTTTTAGAGCTTCTTTTTAGATTTCCACCACACTCACACATCTGTTGGTGCCTTATAAGAGACATGCACAATTAAGTACATGCCAATTTAGCAGTTCTCTGTTGCATAGCAGCAATATATCTCAAAGCTGAAATCGGACTTTCGCCCCTTCTGGCTACAGGTAGAAGTCCCTTTCCTTATAATTTTACCCAGCACAGTGGTTGGCACAGTCATTCATAAATTGGCAACTATATTACATACAACCACAATGGCTCTGCTCTCTCAGGTGGGCCAATTGGAAATATCTGAGCATATTTGGGTGGCAAGGAAGAGACATGAGGACAACGAAGACTGAATGCACTTAATTCATCTTGTGTTGATATCTCATATTGTTCTTAAAAAAGCATACTATTCTACAGCAACGGCTTATAACAATAGTATTAATGGGCAGGTGGGCCACGGGTGTAGAACAGTAGAGTTGGTGTGCCTTGCGAGGGCCTGAACTTAGTAGTAGTGAAAGGTCCTGAGATATCATAAAGAAAGGGAAGAGCGATGTGCAATGAAAGTGAGTTATACTTGGACGCACTGAAAATCAAAAATCTCAGTTCTAATTACTAGAGGGGACAAAATTGGCATCTGCGTCTGCATTCGTATCCGCAAAACATGAGCGGTGATATTGGCATCCACACCCTTGAAGGCAGATACCTGCAATTACAAAGCAGCTATCCATGGATTTGCAGGACTCTGCTAATTACAATAGCGTGGACCTAACTGCTTTTACTGTACTGGGATGGATGAAAACAATTTGACAGGTGGAGCCCCGAGACCTTCAAATGTAGCTTGCCATGACAGAAACGAGAGTTTGCAGGACCCCAGTGATATTCAATGGAAGGCCTCAGACAGAGAAGGAAAGTTCCAACAACACAACAAAAATGCATCCATTTCAAAGAGAGAATCCGGGGGGTGGGGGGGTGGGGAGGGGAAATTGAGGAGACTCTGGGTTGGTCCAGACTTTAACAGGAACACAGCAGAGAAAGAATTATAAAAAGGAAGTCCCAAAGAGAGAAAAAGATCCAAGTGAAGGAATATTAAGGAACAGAGAGATGGCCAACACAGAGATCTCTGTTTACTATAGACTCACAGGTAGCCACCCTGGCACTGATGGGAATACTCTTCTTATTCTGTAGGATGGCAAACACACGGATAAAGTATTCCACACCCGGCTCCAGTTCACGGATGGTTGCAGATGTCTCATTTCCAGGCACCCGGAACTGCAGGTCCAGGCCACCAACACTAGTAGGAACATAGGTGATGAGGTACTCGGTGACTAGATTCTCATTCCTCCATTCTAGGTTGACCGTTTTATCCGTCACGTCTGTCACTGTCAAGTCGCTTGGAGGAGACACTGCCAGGAAAAAAAAAATCAATGGAAAGATCAGACAGACCTGAAGACACTGGGCTAATCTCTGCTCTCACACCCATAGGCAGCCACTGTTTGTCATGCTGCATGTGCCCCTCTAATAGCACAGAAGTTTGTAAGACCACCAGAGCTGCCTTTTCAGGGACTTAGGGTGCGGCTAGACTTTGGGATACTGGAGGTATCCCGAAAAAACTCCACCGCATCCAAGAAATGCGTTTGCTCTTCCATTTTTTTTTGTGGAAGAGCGAATGCGCTCTTTCAGAAGCTCCCATATTCCTCATTCTACAAGGAAGAAGGCGGCTTCCGAAAGAGGGTTTTTTTCCCAACATTTGGCCCAGTCTAGATGGGCCAAATGTTGGAAAAGCCTCTTCTGGCAAAAGAATCGGAAAAAGGTACGCAAAATGCAACATGCATTTTGCGTACCTTTTCCCGACAAAATCTTGTCGTCTAGCCGTACCCTTAGGGTGCGTCTACACAGAAGCATTATTTCGGAATAACAATCCTTATTCCCAAATAACAATGCAAGCATCTACACAGCCATTCTGTTATTTCAAAATAAATTCAAAACCATGGATGGCTTGTTCCGACTTTTGTAAATCTCATTCCATGAGGAGTAACAGTTAATTCGAACTAAGGACTTCGTTCGAATTAATGTTTGACTGCCGTGTGTAGCCGTGGGCAGTTAGTTTGGACTAGTGGGATTTAAAAATGTCCCCCGGATGGGAACATGCAAATAAAGCCCAGGATATTTAAATCCCGGGCTTCATTTGCAAGTTCGAATGCCTACGTTAGCCTCCCTGGTTCGCACTAGGGGCTAGTGTAGACATATCCTTAGTGATTTATCTCAGCTGTTAGTGGCCCATGGTTTTACTGCTGAACACACTGAATGCTACTGTCATCTTGTCTGAGGTCAGCTATCCAGCAATTTCCATGGAATTATTCCAGATTTTCATGGGTGGGAGATCAAACTGTGACTCAGGATTCATCTGCCACGAGGAAACTGGGGGAGATAAAGAACTGGAGCTAACACCAGAGGGCCAGTGAAAGGAACCCAGCAGGGTTTCAGAGCCTAAGAGTTACACCTCCCATAGGAGTGACCTCAAGCTTATCTCAAGAACATGGCTTGTGCGAACAGCAAATGGCAGAACTCCCAGCACTGGCACCTCTTTGATGACTGGGCAGTCGGAGGTCGTGGGAGCCAAGACTGCTCCCATTCCATAGCTAATGTTCAATGAGTTGGTGATTTACTCCCAAGGAGCCGTCAACTAGCTGAGCTCCTTGGCCTCTCCTTGCTGGATGCCACTGTGTGTTCTGTACACCTGTAACCATGGGCAGGCTGCAGGCGCAACAGCCCACTCTCCCAGTTCAGCATGAACAAGAGGTGTCATCATGTAGGAAATGCATCCTTACCCTGCCACCCGGCTATTGGACATACACAAACCTCCAGCTGTCAATCAGGGAAGCTGTTAGCCTGCACTCCAGTATTCTGGCAGGGCTGTAAGTCTGATTTTCAAGTCAGAGCTCTCTCTAGACTAAAAAAGGCTACTTCCCTTGGCAAATCCTGCTGAGTCTCTATCATAAGGACTCTTTACCTCCCCAAAGGCTGAGCTAGAAGCGTTTTAGATACAGCCAGTATAGAAGGATAGAACAGAAGAAGTGTAATGGGAATGCAAAAGTGCCGGGGGCTGTATTGTCAGCCACTGACATGCATGGGAACTGGATGGATTTACTCCAGATGAGAACCACAGCTATAGTACTAACCTCACCAGTTGTTTGATTGGCTGGCCATCAAGTGGTAACGTCCAGCCTCAAGAACAGAAGGGACTGCAAGAATTCTGGTCTTACTCACCTTGATCAAACCTGCCTCAGCTGCACTGACTTCACTGAGGTTATTCCTGGCTACCACATCAGGAACAAGATCAGAATCAGCCACCACCTTTAGGGGGAAAAGGCCTTACATCTCCTTTGACTGATGGATAGACAGAGGATAATTTAAGGGTGGTTGGCTGGTTGAGACGGACACTAAAACTTACCGCTGGAGCAGTCGTCCCCACTGTAGCCATCATCACAAATACATTGCCCATCAACGCAGCGGCCCATGTCATTGCAGTTGTTGAGGCAAGTTTTCTCGCTACAGTCCGCTCCGCCAAAGCCCTCGTCACACAGGCACAGTCCGTCAACACAGCGCCCCCGGTTGTTGCAGTCACTAGGACACCGCTGCTGGCTACAGTCGCTCTCTGTGAACCCATTGTCACACTCGCACTGCCCGTTGATGCAACGGCCTCGGTTGTTGCAGTTGTTCAAGCACACCAACTCCCCGCAGTCCTCTGCAGCAAAGCCGTCATCACACACGCACCTCCCATCCACACAGCGGCCACGGTTGTTACAGTCATTGGGGCACCTCAGCTCAGCACAGTCCTCTCCCATGTACCCCTCATCGCAGACACACTGCCCGTTGACACAGCGCCCCTGCTTGTTACAGTCGTTGGAGCACCTCAGCTCCCCGCAGTCCTCACCCATGAAGCCCTCCTCACACACACACTGCCCATTGACGCAGCGCCCCCGGTTGTTACAGTCATTGGCGCACCTCAGCTCTCCACAGGCCTCACCAATGAAACCCTCATTACACACGCACTGTCCATTGATGCACTGCCCACGGTTGTGACAGTCATTGGGGCACTTCAGCTGGCTGCAGTCCTCGCCCATGAAGCCCTCGTCACATTCACACTGCCCATTGGTGCAGCGCCCCCGGTTGCTACAGTCGCTGGGACACCGCAACTCACTGCAGTCTTCACCCATGAAGCCCTCCTGGCACACACACTGTCCATTAACACAGCGGCCCCGGTTGTTGCAATCTTTGGGGCACTTCACTTGGCCACAGGCGGCACCAGCAAAGCCCTCATTGCAGACGCATTTCCCATTCACACAGCGCCCCCTCTTGTTACAGTCCTTGGGGCACCGCCGCTCACTACAGTCGTTGCCCACAAAGCCCTCGTTACAGATGCACAGCCCGTTCTTGCAGCGGCCTTTGTTGTTGCAGTTGTTGGGGCAGGTGAGCTCCCCACAGTCCTCCCCGGTGAAGCCTGTCTCACAGTAGCAGGTCCCATTGACACAGCGGCCACGATCATAGCAGTCATTGGGGCAGATAATCTCGCTGCAGTCTTCCCCCGTGTAGCCTTCGTGGCAGACGCACTCCTTCTCCACACAGCGCCCCCGGTTATGGCAATTGTTCAGGCAGAGCGGCACACTGCAGTCCTCACCAGCAAAGCCTTCGTCACACACGCATCTCCCGTTCACACACTTGCCATGCTCGCTGCACGCCACTGGGCACAGCTCTTCACTACAGTCCTCCCCGGTGTACTCCTCAAAGCACAGGCAGACACCATTGATGCATTTGCCTTGGTCACTGCAGTCATTGGGGCAAGCGAGCTCGCTGCAGTCTTCCCCAGTGAAGCCCTTGTCACAGATGCATTTGCCATTGACACAACGACCCCTGTTGTTGCAGTTGTTCAGGCATTCCGGTTCTGTGCAGTTGGGTCCTTTCCAGCCAGGTTCACAAATGCAGCCGCAGAGATCATTGCTGTAGTTCCCTCGTCCATTGCAATATGGTGCGGTGTCCACTAGACCTGTATCAATGAATCAGAAAACTCATTACACTTAATGAGCTGTGATGTGCATCACAGAATTTAGACACAGAAGATTGTTAGTAAGACCCTTCATATGGCAGGGCTCAGGGTTACAAAATGTTATATGTTTGCATTAAATGGTACAATGAGCATCCATTGACCCCGGGGTCTACTGTTACCTCTTCTCTTTAAAAAATAAAATTGTAATGGTGGGCGAAGTGGGATGGTACCAATGTGGCCTGCTCACACAAATATCACATAGGGTATGTCTACACTACCACCCTAGTTTGAACTAGGGTGGTAATGTAGGCAACCGGAGTTGCAAATGAAGCCCGGGATTTGAATTTCCCGTGCTTCATTTGCATGTTGCCGGGCGCCGCCATTTTTAAATGTCCGCTAGTTCGGACTCCGTGCCCGCGGATACACGCGGCACGAACTAGGTAGTCCGGACTAGGCTTCCTAATCCGAACTACTGTTACTCCTCGTTGAAGTCAAGGAGGTCATCAAGTCCAGCCCCCTGCCCACGGCAGGACCAATCCCAACTAAATCAACCCAGCCAGGGCTTTGTTTAAGCCAAGACTTAAACACCTTTAGGGATGGAGATTCCACCACCTCCCTAGGTAACCCCTCCCAGTGCTTCACCCCCCTCCTAGGGAAATAGTTTATCCTAATATTCAACCTAGATCTCCCCCACTGTAACTTGAGACCATTGCTCCTTGTTCTGCCATCCCTCACTACTGTGAACAGCCTCTCTCCATCTTCTTTGGAACCTCCCTTCAGGAAGTTGAAGGCTGCTATCAAATCCCCCCTCACTCTTCTCTTCTGCAGACTAAACAAACCCAAATCCCTCAGTCTCTCCTCATAGATCATGATCTACAGCCCCCTAATCATTTTGGTCACCCTCCGCTGGACCCTCTCCAATGCGTCCACATCCTTCATTCAGTTGCTCTGACAGCCTTGGCAAAACTCAATAAGAGCAGGGGTGTGTTAAATTTTTAATACCAAGATAATAGTAAGAAATTCTTCCAAAGGGCTAAAAACTGTAAAATAACCAGTGATTCCAGGAATTTCTGGTTTGGGTTCCCAACTGGAGACTTTTTTCAGAGCGGTTGCTCAGCATTTCCTGAAGATCAGGTCTCTTTAAGGCATCTTAATGGGTCAAAATACCCCTTTGTTTCTCCTGTAAATTTTAATTCATTGGCAACTTTTAAATTCACAGGAACCACAGGGAAAAGCTGTTGCCAATTACTACATTTCTGTAGGTTAGCAGGCTTGTCCCTTTCATTAGTTTTGTCTTCCCTTCCTCGTGACCCTGACACAATGTTTGAAAGAATACTCCTGACTATCCCATTAGAGGTCTTATCATTATATATCAAATGCTGACCCCAAAAATGGGACACCATATAAGATGTTGTCGTGTGCATAGTAAGAATTGTTAGGTGGGCTGTTGTAACTTTATGTCTTTGCTCTTCTGTATGATCCATCCTCTTAACGTCAATAAAATAGAAACTCAAAGGAAAAAGTTTCATTTTTTCTTGTATCATTTTGCTCCCCTTAACTCTGGCTTACGACCTAGGTGTGCTGTATTTTCATTGGCCTTTACTAGAGAATGCTTGGAAGCAAGAATGAAGAGAGCTTCCATTATTATTCCTGTGCTCACTGTCTGTTCTAGTGGACTAAGCATTGGACTAAGGGTACGTCTAAACTACATGGCTCCGTTGACGGAGCCATGTGGATTTGTTGTTTTGGCAAAGGCAAATGAAGCCGTGATTTAAATGATCGCGGCTTCATTTACATTTACATGG